CACAATTTGAGTTGAATTACTGAAATAAATGAACTTTTCCATGACATTCTAATTTATTGAGATGCACCTGTATTGTTTTTCCAACAGAGAAGATCAATGCTGTTGTAATGGGCAACAATTATTTGTCTATTTATGTCAAGATTTGAGCTTGTCTAACCTGTTGTGTGGGGATATGATTTTGGAAACACGCAGAGACCACCCATCTGGTTTACTGATAAACAAAGGCAGTGTTGGGAACCAACATTTGGGATAATGTAAGTACACAAGTCAGCAAAATATGTAACACTGTTCTAGTGGTTTTTGGATATTTTAATAAAAAAATCGTACATATTGTGCCTTTACATGCGCCTTAATAACATTTCTCAAAAATGATTTGTTTGCACAAATAAATAAAATGAAGCAAAACATGAGTCCTAGAAAAATATATTTCTGTCAGGACCACTATCGTCAAAGATGATTGACAATTAGCATACAGTTTGGATTCAGCCTAGCATGGATGAGAGCAGGGAGAGCACGCTACGCTAGATTGCATTGAACAAGCAGAAAGTCGCCCCCTTTTGGTTTAATTAAAAGTAAAATGAATAAAAATGTCACGTAGTTCTAATTCTTAATAATATTAAGAATTAGAAATACATGACAAAGCAAATATGATGCAGGATGGTGTATATAAAACTGTCCTGCATCATATTTGCTGAATGAATTCCAATGCATGTTTCTTACAGATTTTTTTTTTTTTTGCATTCGATAACCATTTGTAAGGTGAAGAAGTCTTGTATTCTCCTGCCAAACTGCCACAAAGACATGATTCCTGTCTTCATCTGAGATAACTTACCACTGTTTGTTCAATGCTCAGCTCATTTTCACATCTGTGAATGATTCTGAAGACATTATTTTATGCCTAGTCCTGATTTCCACTTTTTCCAGTCCTTTGCAGATTGTAAGTTAAATGATACATTTTTAATACTACTTTGTCAATAAAATGTAACAATTTATTTTGTTATTTTGGTAAGTGCATTAAAGCTGATACATGTATATAAGTTGAAAAATATTCTTTTGTGAAAAAAAAAAACTATATGTGATTGAAAGTTTCATTGATATTTTTGAACTCAGCATCATCAAATTAGGTGTTTTTTTTACTGTTTAAGATGCAGGCCGTGTGTAATTCACATATTCTTCTGTCTTGCTTTGTTTTTTTTTTCTCTAGGTCTTTCATCACTGGTGATGGAGCAGACTTTGAGGCCAGTAAAGTCTGGTTCGGCCCTGTCACAAGTCCAGACCAGACCCATGTAGTTCATGTAGTACCTGCTCCTGTGTGTTTCTGACTCTTATGTTCATGTGGATGCTGAGAGACACTTATCCATCAACACCCGTCCATCCCAGCGAGGCCTCGCCAGTTATTCAGTGCATATATAAGTATAAGTTATAAGTACATCAATATTGTAGGGAACACTTTTGAATGCACTAATAAGCCATTAAGTTTGTTTCATTGATACATTCACTCAAAATCAGAACAGACCTTTTCTGTGCTTCCTGTCATTAATTGTGTAATTAAAAACATGTTATCAGTGTACTTCAGTTATGTTGTTTAAAGATGATCATCATTTTTAATAGGACAGTGTCTCACAGCATAACGAGAGAGTAAAGCATATTACCACAAGCGCCTCTGAATGAGTTCTGATTGTACAGTATCATTTGATGACAATAAAAGTTGTCTTTTTCATATGCATTTTATTGTTTCTTGTAAGTCTCATTAATGGGGGGGGGGGGGTATCTGTGCAATGGGATTTTTTTATTTTAATTTTTAAATTGTTCCACTCTTAAAGCTGCAGTGGAATGATTGCAATGTTACAATACTTTTTTCTATCCCGGTTTAAAGTGCAGAGACAAACAAGAGACCAAAAAAATGCCACAAACTGATCACCTCCATGCCACGCCGAATTGAGGCAGTAATTAAAGCAAAAGGAGCCCCTACCAAGTATTGAGTACACAAAGGTCAGCACTTTACCTCTTTGTTTACTGTGAGTGTGGAGAACATGGGTGGTAACATATTATAATTAATTAGGGACAGACTAATTGATCAACATGATTTGGCTATTTTGAGTTCATCTGTAATGATTGATAACAGTTCCTGGTTGGCCAGTTAACAAAATCTAGTAGTTTAATTTATTTTATTTCATTTCTTTATTTATATTTATTTACATCATTTTTTGTGAATTGGGTAAATGTTTTGTGAAATAAGTGTTCATTTACAACTTCTTATTTTCTATATTTTTCTTATCCGTCTTGTTCGTGTGGTATTGGTATTTAAAAAAAAAACAGGTCAGCTGATAATTATAATATATAATAACTTTAATTAATGAATCTTTCACAAACATTATATGCTGATTTAACAATCAGTGGTTCATGTGAATGAGAAATAAATGACTAAAATGTGCCACATGTACCAGGGTTATTATAGTTAACTAAAACTAAAATTAAAACCATTGTTACTTGAAATAAAATAAACGTTAACTGAATTTTGTTTTCTTCATTTCAACCAGTTGCCAAGGCAACGTTTCTTATTTTCATTTAGTTTAACTTGATGTGCTTAAATAACTAAAACTGAAATAAAAATGAATAAAACTATATAGATGAATATGACAAACACAGAACAAAATTACTAAAACTTTCACTGAAATTAAAATGAAAACGGATATAAAGCAGTTTTAAAATATAAATAAAAACTACAATAGTATTTAAAAAAATACTAAGATGACACTGGTATGTACATGAACTAATGATGTTAAGCATTTATTTGATGTAATTATGTTTCGTATTGTTTGTTAATGAAATTATTAAAGCCTTACTATGTAAAGCAGGGCAGTACAATTGAATATTCATTATATATTTGTGAATAAAATTAAGTGACTCAATTATTTTAATGCACTTTTGATTTTAACATTCCTAAAGACTATCATGTATTATTTAGCTATTGTTTCTTGCTTCATTACACATGCGTCAAATGTCTTTGATTTCAACTTCAGTAGCAAAAACATTGTTAGAGTTGGTAAATGTGATTCATTTCCATGAATTTTTGATTCCTTGGCTCTCTTTCCTTGTCAAAGAGGTGCAGTGGTTCTTAAATGGGCTCCAGTAAAAAAATGGATCTCACCATCCATTTTCTTCCATCAGCGGGAAGAAACAACACCGGCCGCTACACTGTATTACTAACCAATCCGTTCAGCTCTGACATGCATCACAGGAACATCATAGTGCTGTGTGAGTATATGATCATTACTGTAGCCTACGTTCATTTAAAGGAATAGTTCAGGCAAAAATGAACATTTGCTGAAAATGTACTCACCCTCAGGACATTCAAGATGTAAATGAGTTTGTTTCTTCCTCAGATCTGGATAAATGTAGCATTGCATCACTTGCTCAGCAATGGATGCTCTGCAGTGAATGGGTGCCATCAGAATGAGAGTCCAAACAGCTGATAAAAACATCACAATAATCCACACCACTCCAGTCCATCAGTTAACATCTGGAGAAGTGTAAAGCTGTGTGTTTGTAAGAAACAAATCCATCAAGACGTTAGTTCAAACCATTACTTCGGGCTAAAATATGAGTCCATAATCCATAATATTGCTTTCTCCAGTGAAAAAGTCTTCTTGTCTGAAATATGCACAGATCAAACACAATTTACAAGCGAAAACAGTCCAAAGCAAGTTCTAAACAAATATGTTGGTGGATTTTGAGGTGAGAGGACAACAATGGATGGGCTTTTTCACTGGAGGAAGCATTATTGTGGATTATGGACTGGTATTTTGGCCAGAAGCGATGATTTAAAGTTAAAATTCCTTAATGATGCAGATCAAGCACCGTTTACAAGCCAAAACAGCTCTAAACAAACATGTGGGTGGATTTTGATGTGAGAGACAACACCGGAGAAAGTGTTGTTATGGATTATGGACTCATATTTTGGCCAGAAGCAACGGTTTGAAGACGTCTTGATGGATTTGTTTCTTACAAACATGCAGCTTTTTGTTTCACAGGATGTTAACTGATGGACTGGAGTGGTGTGGATTACTTGTGGATTATTGTGATGTTTTTATCAGCTGTTTGGACTCTCATTCTGACGGCACCCATTCACTGCAGAGGATCCATTGGTGAGCAAGTGATGCAATGCTACATTTATCCAAATCTGAGGAAGAAACAAACTCATCTACAATTTGGATGGCCTGAGGGTGAGCACATTTTCAGTAAATTTGCATTTTTGCCTGAACTATTTCTTTATGAGTCTTTCCCAACAGTAGCCCGTTTCATTTCCGACCACTTATTTTCCCTCTTCGGCTGCCCTTAGATGGACCCGATATGCCAGTTCTCAAGGTCAGTCCCACAAAAGCAGTCTTTGTTTCGGGCGAGTCTCTGTTCCTCTCCTCTCAGGCCGAGGGTGGGCCTCCCTCCGCCACATGGTTTTTCAATGGCGAGTCCATCGCAACGTCTTCAACAGGAACAGTCAATCTCACCAGTATGTTAATAATTATAATATAATTGTCTATGGTAGAAGTTTGCACGTTAAATGTCATTTTTGTAAGCAAAATAAGGGAATACCAGCATGTTAGGATGTTGTGCATCATGTAAATATTCTTTTGAATGGCTTGATACTTTTCTGCTGACAGTGTTTGTTAAAGCAGTAATCCATTCATGGCTGCGTTAGTGATTTTTACCCCAGTTAACAGGGTTTTAGAAAGCCAGAGATGCTTTTATTTCTTTTCTCCTTCCATCATTGTCAGAGTCTCCCAGCGGTGAGCCGCAGTGTTCAGTACAGGCTGTGAATGGAGGCGCAGCGCTGCAGTTCCTCTGTCTGTGGCCAGGCAGCGCTCCAGAAGCGCAAGAGTCGTTTCCCAGCCTGAGTGTGAATGCCAGTGGATACGGCAATTACAGTATGACTCTAAATGACATTCAGCGGTTAAACGGATCTGTAAAGCTGAACATCAGACACAATGCAGTGTCATTCCCCGTAAGTCATGCTCTGTTTCTTTCTTGAATTTGAAATAATAATCCTTATGTTGCAAATTAATTTCATTTGGAATCTGCGGAATTTCCTTGTAATTTCAGAAGTTATTTTATGGTGATTATTAGTTAGCATAAATAAATGATGAATAGTAAATAAGCATACATTTAAACTTAAAATGGCAAGGAAATTCTGTAGATACCAAGTGCAATTAATTTGTTTGTTCAGAATTATTCATATTTCAAATTTAGTTATGATGAATATTATTTAGTTGTAAGAATCTTACTTTTGCTATTAGATTTTATGTGTGCTGTCTGCATGGACAGCATCTGAACTGAAATGTATCGATTGGGTTTCAATAATGGCAAGCAAGTTTAGTTTGTGTTTTGCTATGATACATGATACCTTAATAAGCCTAAAAATACATTGCACACACTTATTGGGTTGATGTTGTATATTATTTATAATCAACATTTCTTTTACTTCATACATTTTGTTTTCCCCGAACCTGCAGAAATTATAAATAAATAAATAAATAAAATAAAAAAAGTAAAAAATAGGAAAATTAGTAAAGTGATAAAAGACATCATAAAACAAATAAGATTATTTTCAATTAAATATTTTATAAATAATGAAATACTTTTTAATTAGTCCTGAATAATTTTTTGTATTTTTATTTGTTATTTGTGTATTTAGTTTTTTTATTATTATTATTTTTAACTTTATTTTATTATTTATTTTGTTTTTATTTATGCATTGATTTATCTTTATATATTAATCCACCATCTTGAGTTTTTTTTTCACCTAGTGTGTTGCAGTGCATTATGGGATTGTTTTCTACACAGTGCGCTTGAGGAGCACTATTTGTGTTGCTGCCTATATACAGTGTTCCAAATTGTTCACTTAAATTGTTTCAGTTAGGATGCTTTAAGGCATTGGAATGGCACCTTTATCCCATTGCATTATGTTGCAGGTGGTCCTGTGGATTTTCTCCCAGTAATTTTAACCAGCATGAGTCAAAATGAACAGACGCTGGTTGTGATCCATTGCTCTACTGAAGCCACACCTGAAGCCCTTGTGCATTGGACCAAGAATGGAAACCTCTTGCAAACTGGGCCCAAATACCAGATCAGTACAAACACAACTCAACTGTTTATTTATGATTTTAATGTCACTACAGACCTCAACACCTACACCTGCACTGCCATCAACCCTCTCGGCAACAAAACTGTGGACACTACACTGCTGGGTATGGATCCGTTATAGTTTATCATTAGCAATAATGGGTTGTTTTGACATTTCAAATGTCTATACTACTGAAAAACTTGATAAAACGCAAAAAAAACAAACTATTTTGACTTATAAAGGCACATTTTGTCTGCCTGCACTACTATTTAGAAGTTTGGGCTCAGTAAGATTTTTTGTTTTTAAAGAAATTAAAGGGGTCCTATTATGCTCTTTTACAAGTCTTGTCTTTTATAAGTCTTGATTTTGTTAGCTGGGCCAGTGTGTGCTGTGATTTGCACGGATCCGTTATACTGATGTACATCTGATATTTTCTTTACTGTTTACGTTCACTTAAAACAACCGACTGTGCTTACAAGGATACTTGTCAAGACAGCCACTGGTATTCACCTGCTGTCTGAGAAGGCTATCTGTTTGTGCACTTCATATGTGTGCGGAATCATAGAGGAAGCAATCAGGAAAAATTTAATTATGACTACTTTGACACAGACACACTTCAGGAAAAAATACATACTACAAATATACACTACCATTCAAACGTTTCAGATCATTAAGATTGTTTTTTTTAATGTTTTTGAAAATAAGTCTCTTATGCTTACCCCGTGCTGCATTTATTTGAGCAAAAATACAGTAAAAACAGCAATATTGTGAAATATTATTACAATTTAAAATAACTGTTTTCTATGTGAATATCTGTTCAAATTTAATTTATTCCTGTGATCAAAGCTGAATTTTCAGCATCATTACTCCAGTCTTCAGTGTCACATGATCTTCAGAAATCATTCTAATATGCTGATTTGCTGCTCAAGAGACATTTCTGATTATTATCAATGTTGAAAACAGTCGTGCCACTTCATATTTTTTGTGGAAACCATTATACTTTTTTTTTTTTTCTTCAGGATTGTTTAATGAACAGAAAGTTCAAAAGAACAGCTTTTATTTGAAATAGAAATCTTTTGTAACATTATAAATGTCTTCACTTGTCACTTTTGATCAATTTAATGCGTTCTTCGCTAAATAGAAGTATTATTTTACTATATTATTATTTTACTAAGTATTATAGAAGTATAAATAATAGTATTTTCTTATAAAACGCCCTCTAATCTTTGTTTTATTTACAACTTCAAAAAATCATTTTTTTTACATTGTGGTATTATCTGAGAGGGTTTTCATATTAAAACTGTCTGATCTTGTATTTTTATTGCAGCACATAATATTATACTATACTAATATGAAGCTATTTTAAAATTTATCTCTTATTTATCACATCAAAGTCATCGCGGCACTGTCAAAAAAAGAGTCATGGACATGTGATGTGAGTGAAAATGGGCAGAAGCTACATCATCATGTGTCCACTCATAGTGTGTCACCACATGCACGGCTGAATGAAAGTGTGCGCTTCAGCATGTTGCATTGACCGCAGCAGTACTGCAAGCCTCTGCACATCACAGTTCCAGAACGGCCAATACAACAACAAAAAGAGCCTTCCCCCTCCAAACCCCAAGCTTGGACCCGGCCGGCGTGCAGCGGTCACGTACCTCAGACAGCATCAAGCTCAAGTGCATTTGTTCTGTGTGGCCCATTTTAAAGGATTTTGCCTTCATCAACAGAAAAGCAGAGAGGATAACTTTTTGGAATTCAGCCTGATGGGTCCTTTTTGACGTTACGAAGGTCAATACTTAAGCAGGTTCATTTATCCTGAAGACCTCAGGTAAGAATCCCTCCCTGATTAAGTCACGTTTGTGATGGTTTTCAGGATCAATGTGATAGTTTATTGCAGTTTCTAGTGGGAAGTCCCTCCAAACTGAACAAACCATAAACACACTCTTGAAACTTGATGGATGAAAGGATGAACTCTTCTTTAAAAACTTGTTTTTGAAGTCTTCATGTATAGTGGGGACTGAAAGTTTCACTTTCTTTTATAATTAAATGCTAAATAATTAAATGCAAAATCTTTCCTTACAAATTGTATTGTTAGGAATTAAAAAAAAAAAAAAAAAAATGAATTGAACTCTTGATATTTGATGGATAAATTATGTAATCTTCTTTAAAGTATTTTTATTTGTATTTTTATTAAAAACATTTTTGAAGTCTTGTATAGTGGTGACCGGAAGTTTCACTATTAGTGAACATTATTTTTTAATTAAATGCAAAATCTTTCTTTACAAATTATATTAGCAACAATTTAAAAAAATAATGAACTTTTGAAAATTGATGGACAAACTGATGTAATCTTTAAAAATATTTTTTTAATTTATACTTTATTAAAAACGTGATGTACATTGAGGAGAGAAAGTAATCTTTTGTAATTAAATGCAAAATCTTTAATTGCAAATTAATTACAAATGTATCAATAATTAAATTTAAATATTTAATAATTAAATTTAAAATTAAATTTATTATCAATAACAAACGAAAAAAATTTAATTGAATATAAATTTCAGCATTTATTTGATTTATTCAATTATTATTTTGAGTTCACATGCTTAATATCACTTTCTATTTATTTTATTAGTAATACCACATTTTATTTTTATTTATATTTTATTTTTATCTATTTATTTATTTGTTACTTAGAAGCTTCATGTACACTATTGTGTTGAAATACATTTATGTAAATTTTCTGTCCTTTTACCCTAAACGTTTTTTTGAACATTGAACAATATTTGCGGAAGTTTAGAGTGGGTGTTTGCACAGATTTAATCTGCAGGAAGTTCTGTAACCATAAGCATTAGTCACATCAACGAAAGGACTCTTTAAAAGTGTCACTTTTGCTTTTAACCTCTGATGCTTCTGTTTGGCATCCTGACTAGAAACTGTAAATGCATATTATGTGTTCATCGTATTCATCCAGAGACTTATGTTTACTCAACATTTCATACTTTGCTCTGCCATGACAGAGTAAACTAACTGTAAAGACTGTTTATGCTATAGCGCCCTCTGTGACAATGCTGAAAATTCAGCATACTTGTGATTTAAACATATACATATTTTGAAAAGCAATAATGTGTGAAATGGAGCTTGTGTAGCTTGAATCATCTCCATTCATATATTAATAATGTAGTGCATGTTTCAGGCCTCTCATCACATTTTATGCTGATGATAATGATAAGTGGTCATTTCTCCATCAGTTGTGTGTTTGTTGTCCCTCTGCTGTTTTGCATGTGTATGGTGTTCAACTCTATTGTTTACATATTGTTGTGAGGCATTGCAGATAGGCATTGTGTGAATGATATCACGTGTCCTGAAGTACGAGTTACTGACGCTGTTTTGCTTGTGCAATTCTGGTGTGGGGTGTAAAACACAGGAAACTGTAAACGCACGTACAAACTGGTGGAAATTTGACTATGTGAGGAATTAAACGTATTCATGCTTTTCATTTTTGTGGCAAAATAGTAAAAGAATGTTAAATATTTTTTAGGTTCTGTGTAAATGAATCAGAGCTGCTTTAATGACAGCTGTGCACTACATTTAATACTCAAATTTAGATATATGGCAGATGTTTTGTTCTTTTCAAAGCGACATTTTTTATCAGTTCGTGCATTTTGAAACTTTAATCTTACAAACTACCAAATAGAATCTAAAAAAAATAAAAAACAATAAATACATAAAAATATTTTACACAAGTAAATTGCAGCCTATATTTATAAATGATTCACATTTTTATATTGTGACAATATTTTCAATACAATTAAGCATATTTAGGCTCAAAAAAGGCTTAATGATACAAAAAAAATATTCAAAATTCATAATAGAATTTCTTATTTATTTTGTGAAATAAATAAGAGTGAAATATAACAACACTCTTAAAAATAAAGGTTCTTAATTGGTTCAAAAAAGAACAGCCATGGAACCTTTCCATTCCACAAAAGGTTCTTTTATAGTGAAAAAAATAATAATAAATTCTTCACACTAAGAAAAAAAGTTTGTTTTAAGAACATTTCACTGAAAGGTTTTTAGGTTCTTGTAGGCTACCTTTAGTTTTAAAGAGGCTATATGTGAGAATTTTCATGTATTAGTTGCTTTTTTTTGTTGCCAATGTGTGAACAGTTTGTAACAAACCTAAAAATCGAGAACTTTCCCAACTTGTAGAGTAGACTGGTTTTGATGTGAAGGACTCCGGACGTTTTCACTTGGAAAATCAAAAGCCTCTCATGTGAAATGAATGCTTACAGTGTTCAGGATAATGCCGAGAGAGCCGTTCTGTAGGCTACTGTAATGTCATGTAATGTCATGCAAAGAAAGTGGATTAATTCAAACTATAGTCTCACATATAGTATATAGTCGCAAAATATGCTTCAAACTATCGTAACTGTAATTTTAATGACCTCATCTGTTGATATGAGCTGGAGCAAACGTATGATTAGATGCTTTCTTAACTGCTGTTTTCTCACTGCTGTCATGTTTGTTGTGTGTTTATTTTGTTATTGATATATTTATATGCAAAGGTATTTCCAACTTCTTTTTACTTCTAAGCGAAGAATATGGAAGCCCGTTTCCGCCACTGAATAAAAAATATAAAAAGGTTATTGTGACTTTTTATCTCGCAATTGTTTTTTCACAGAATTGTGAAATATAAACTGGCAATTCTGATTTTGTTTCTCGCAAATGTGAGTTTGTATAAGAATTGTGAGAGAGCCTATCAACTCGCAATTGCGAGTTATAAAGTCCAATTTTGAGGGGGGAAAAAACTGATATTTCCTCAAGAATTGTGAGTTAATATCTCACAATTCTGACTTAACTCGCAATGGAGAAAAAAGGCACAATTTCGAGATTTAAACTCGAAAATCTCAGAATTTTTTCTCTTTTTTTCTCAGAATTGTGAGTTTATATCTTGCTGTTATGACTTTCTTTCTCGGAATTGTGAGTTTATATCTCACAATTAGGACTTACTCGCAATTGCGAGTTTATATCTCACAATTCTGTGAAAAAAATATAAAAAATCGCAATTACTTTTTCAATTGTTTTATTCAGTGGCGGAAACAGGCTTCCATAGAAGAACGAAAAATAATTTTGTTGTTAGTAAATCAGATCCGTGCTTCACGTTCAGCCTCGTGTACGCTACGTGTGCGGTTCACTTAGCGGCCACCGGTGTCACTAATAACAAGGGTTTCTGAATTCTGCATATAGCCTCTTTAAGAGTGTTCTTTAGATTATTAAAATATTCTTCACACTAAGAAAAAAATGGTTGTTTTAAGAACTGTTCACTGAAAGGCTCTTTAGGAAACCAAAGATGGTTCTTCACTGTGAAAATCCCCTTTTGGAACCTTTATTTTTAAGAGTGACCTGTTTCGTGATTCACCTGAATATACTGTGCATGATGAGCATCTGTGTGTGTGTGTGTGTAATTGACTGTAATGTGTCTGTCAGTGCGTTTAGCTCCTCAGGATGTACAGCTTTATTGGAGGGGGTTTATTCTGTGCCATCGTGGGCAACATCCTGCTGGTGGTCTCCACGGCGACGGACTACTGGATGCAGTACAGACTGTCCGGCAGCTTCGCTCACCAGGGCCTGTGGAGATACTGCATGTCTGGCAAATGCTACACGCAGACCGACAGCATCGGTGAGTGAGAGACTGACTGCAAATATCATTTTTTAAAGGTTTAAATAAAACGACTTCAAAAGTCAAAAACCTACAAAATTTCACTTCATGCTTAAAAATTTCACATTTAATTCAATGTGTTACATGCCGTTTCCTGTTTATATATTTATTTATTTTGTTTATATATATATATGATTCTTGCATTCCCACACCTTTTGACCAATTAATATCCATAACTTTTTCAGTCATTTGTGTTAATTGATAATTATTCATTATAGACATGTCCATGACATTTATATGACTTCATTCAGATTTATTAATTTCAATGTTTTCAGCGCTGGAAATTCATTTTAAAAATCCCAGACGTATTCACATTTGTGACCCTGGACCACAAAACCAGTCATAAGGGTCAATTTTTTGAAATTGAGATTTATAAATCATCTGAAAGCTGAATAAATAAGCTTTCCATTGATGTATGGTTTGTTAGGATATGACAATATTTGGCCGAGATACAACTATTTGAAAATCTGGAATCTGAGGGTCTAAAAATCTAAATATTGAGAAAATCGCCTTTAAAGTTGTCCAAATTAAGTTCTTAGCAATGCATATTACAAATCAAAAATCAAGTTTTGATATATTCACGGTAGGAAATTTACAAAATATCTTCATGGAACATGATCTTTACTTAATATCCTAATGATTTTTGGCATAAAAGAAAAATCGATAATTTTGACCCATACAATGTTTTTTTGACTATTGCTACAAATATACCCCAGCGACTTAAGACTGCTTTTGTGCTCCAGGGTCACATTTTCTTAACAATATCCATAAACAAACCAGGAAAATGTTTAATATTTAGAATGTTTTTGTAAATCTCTCAACATTTTGGCTGTTAATTTAACATTTCTACGACTTTACTGAGATTTTATTCATTTCAATTTCATTTTTGTTACTTAAATAAGTAAACAAACAAACCCAGGAAATTGTTGAATATCCAGAATGTTTTAACAAAACTCAGAATATTTTCACTTTTAGTTTTTTTAATAAATTAATTAATTTTTTTTATTTTTATAAAATAAAAAATATGCAAAAAAAAATTTATTTTTAATTTGTTGTTTACATTTATTTTAAAGGGGACATCAGATGGCCATTTTCCAGAAGTTGGTATGATTCTTTAGTGTCTTCATTAAATGTCTGTAACATACTTTGGTTCAAATTCCTCAACGGTCGTGTAAAACAACACCCTTTTTACCTTGTCAAAATCCACTCTGTTCACAGTGACCTGTTTCAGTGCATGTCTCTTTAAATGCTAATGAGCTCTGCTCGCCCCGCCCCTCTCTTCCATGGAAGAGGAAAGGCGATATGCAAATAATCATAAAAAAAAGTGTGAGACTTGCTTCTTTTGGAGGTGCAGCTGGATCATGAAGAGTGGGTGCTGCTGATCCATCCTTGAGTTTGAACTTTTTAGCAAAACCTGCCTTGAATTGTCCCTTGTTCAGAAACCTTTTCTTTGGGGATGAAAAAAAAAGGAGTGAATGGATTTGTATCATTGTAAGCTGGTTGTGTCCACACACTGCTAAGACACATTTATATGCAAACATCATGTAAAAGTGAATTTTGCATCCGATGTCCCCTTTAATATTATTATTCTAGATTTATATTTTTTCCTCATAGAAAAGTTAAAGAAAAGTTACAAATATTGGACTAAACAAACCAAAACATTATTATTCTATCTTTTAACCATAAAGGCTGCAGTGATTCATTAAACGTTGCTCCTTTAACTGCAGTTTCCCCAAATTTGTGAAGTTCAAAAGTCCATGTTCCTCCATAAGTCTAAGCCAAAGTGTCCAGCACCTCTCTCTTTGTTTCTGCAATTGTCTCTCATTTCAGCTTACTGGAACGCAACCCGGGCCTTCATGATCCTCTCAGCGATGTCGTGTTTTGCGGGAATCATCGCAGGCATCCTCTCCTTCGCTCACTTCTCCGCCTTTAAGCGATTCAACCGTTCCTTCGCTGCAGGGATCATGTTTTTTATCTCCAGTAAGTCTTTCCCTTCAGTGAGCTATTGACGGATGCTTATACAGACTGATAATGAAAAACCTTCTCATTCATGTCTCCTCCAGCGCTCTTTGTTCTGCTGGCTATGGCCATCTACACCGGGGTGACGGTGAACTTCCTCGGGAAGCGTTTCAGCGACTGGCGTTTCTCATGGTCCTACATTCTGGGCTGGGTCGCTCTGCACATGACCTTTTTTGCAGGTCGGTGAAGATGGATTATTTTAGTTTGAGCTCCAGCATGTCCTGTTGATCTCATTTAACACGTGTGTTTTGTTTTTGCAGGTATATTTTACATGTGTGCCTACAGGATGCATGAATGCCGCCGAGTGGCCGGCTCTCGCTAAAACGCAGGAGCAACAAACACTCAAGTGTCTAAATGTGTATATATACAGGTGTTTGGTTATCTGATCCCACTTAAAAAGTACCAGCGCAAGTTGGCTGAAAGATAAAATACGCCACGTTCTTCCTCTGCAGGTTTTCCCGCAGGATTTCTTTAGTCTCTATCCCAACAGGTGAACATTTAAGATTAAAAATAAGTCACACAATCCTGAATGAAACTGAATGATTGGTCATGCACAGAGAGACAAATTCTCAAATAAAATCTCAGATTATTCTCATCATTCGATGGCATTCTGTTCATTTACTGACTGACATAAACTAGTGAAGGTAGGTCAACATTTTGGTTGTTAGATTGACATTTCTACAACTTTTTTAAAATGACAATTAAAAATGAAATTTAATTAAAGCGTTTTAATGACAATTAAATGTTAAAATTCCCTGATATTTTTAGGTTTTCCAGCATGGTGGAAACGGAGTTATTAAAAAAATCAAAAATATTTTGAATATTCAGAATATTTTAATGAAGCTCTCAACATTTTCACTGTTAATTTAGAAATAAACAAACAGAAAAACGATTAAAATTATTATTCTATATTTTATATTAATACAATTTTTTTTTTTTATATTTTAATACAATTTTTAATTTTTGTAATTTGATTTTTAGTAGTAATTTTTTTTAGATTAATTTAAAATTCTTTGATATAGTTTTCAGATTTTATTAGCAACATCCATAAATTAGCCAGGAAAAAGTTTAATATTTATAATATTTTGGTGAAACTCTCAACATTTTGCCTTTTAATTTGAGTTTTCTATGACTTTTAAGATTGATCAATTTCAATGACGTTTTAAAATTCCCTGATATTCAAAATTTCTTAATAATATCCATAAACTGACCAGGAAAATGTTTAAGATTAATAATAATTTAGTAAAACTCTCAACATTTTGGCTATTAATGTGACATTTCTATTAGATTTTCAGGCTTGAAAATTACCATTTTAAAATTCCCTGATATTTCTTGTTTCTGATTTTTGATTTGATTTTTTTCCCCCTGATATTTCTGATTTTCCGTGATAGTGGAAACTTGGTTAATAAAAATACATTCCAAAACCACCACAGGAAATGGTTGAATGTTCAGAATATTTTAATGAAACTTTCTTGAGCAGCAAATCAGAATGATTTCTGAAGGATCTTGCGATACCGAGTAATGATGCTGAAAATTCAGCTTTGATCACAGGAATAAATTACATTTCAAAATATATTTAAGTAGAGAACAGTTGTTTTAAATTGTAATAATATTTCAGATTTTTACAGTATGTTTGATCAAACAAATGCAGCCTTTCTTAAATTTTCTTTAAAAAAAAAAAATTCTTAACAACCCCAAACTTTAGTACTACTTTGAAAAATAACTATGCTAAATGTGTCAATCCTTAAATAATGAATGAATATTTAAAGTTATTAAATTAATACATAGATTTGCAATTTGCATGGAGTCATGACATAACTGATGTTCAAATGCAAAAAAAGGTTCATTCTGCCACAGTCACAAGTTCAGTGTCACTCTTTTTAGTCTTCTGTGTAAAACAACACCACTTCTTGAGTAAAGAAACAGTTTTGCTTTCACGGAAAGTGGAGGATGAGAAGTAAAAGACGAACGGATCCAGACAGGTGTTGAGGGTGCTGGGCAGGAGCGTGTAGTACCTCCACGACGGGCTGTTGTTGCTGCTGAAACCCACCAGATGAGACAAGTTGTAGGGTAAAAAACAGAGTAAAAAGATGGTGAGCGTGCACAACGCCATGCCAATGGCCCTTTGCTTTTTCTCTTTAGATATATGAGGCCTGCTGTACAGGATGTAGATGCAGTTGATATAGCAGAAGATACAAACTAAGAGCGGCAGCATGTATATAACCACAAAGAATTCAAGTCGGACTGGTAACAAGATCTTCTTTTGCTGCTCTGTGAAGTTTTCATAGCAGACCGTTTTGGGAAGGGTGGCGTTCAGATCTGGAATGTGGACAGTGATGAAGACGATGCTGCAATGGGCAGCGCTGACCAGCCAGATGATGACGCTTCCTGCTGCAGCGTAAAGTGGCTTACGCAACAGTCTGTACTTGAATGGAAACGCCAGCCCTAAGTAGCGGTCAATGGCTATAGCCATGAGCAACAGGGAGCTGGTGTAAATGGTGGTGAAAAAGAAATAGGAGGCAATGGAGCACAGGGTCTGGGATAAATACCATTTCATGCCAACGGCGGCTTCGTACATCTTGAAGGGCAGAAAGAGCAGGAAGACCAAGTCAGAAGCCGTCAGGTTGAAGAGCAGGATGTCATTCGGACTGGGTTTGTCACCCAGTTTCTTAAAGAAGGTGCAAATAGCCAGTAGATTGGCAGGAAGGCCGATCAGAAACGTCAGGATGTAGACGGCTAAAATCACCCAGTGGTTTATCATTTTGCATGTGAACGAACTCTGAAAAACATCAAAATGAGACTGACATTTATCCAACAAGGTATATGATTGTTAAAATGCCACTCGTATAGGTACTTTGATAATTGATTTGGCCAACACTAATGAACAGCTACAGTGGTTTACAAATGTATTTGGACATGTAAGTCGCACTTAAATGGTCTGAAACCATGATTCAGAGTTTCAGTTTCATAAAAAAACAAACAAACAAAAAAAACCCGCACTGATCGTTAACAGGAAGTTGCATTGAAAAAAGTAAAACATAAAATATAATAAATAAAAAAATATATATATATACACACACACACATATATATATATAATAAACCACGCCACTTGATTTTGTTATCTAATACATTTTTATTTAGTTATTTAGCTAGCTAGCTAGCATTTTCAATGCAACTTCATTTTCCAAAAATGCAATTGGACATGAAAGTCACTGTATTATAGATAACAAAAACAAGTGGCTTGATTTATTTTCCGTTCGTTATTTTTACATGTATTTTTTAATGCAACATCCTATGCACGATCAGTACATTTTTTTTTCTAAAAAATATCTGAACATGAAAGACACACTTAAAAATGTCTTAAAAGGAATTGTATTAAATAACAAAACCAAGTGGCATGCTTTGATATTATTATTATTATTATTTCATTTCCTTTTATTTTATTGTGTTTTATATTTAATTTTTATTTTATTATTTTACTTTTTCAGTGCAACATCCTGTGTGTGATCAGTACCCCGATAAGACATTTACAAATGTCTTCAAAAGCATTGTATTAGATAACAAAACCAAGTGGCTTGGTTTATTTTATTTGATGGTTTATTGTATTTTATTATTTTTTAATAATATTTTATTCCATTATTTTATTTGATTATTTGCTTTTTTAATGCAGCGTCCTGTGAGTGACCAGTACACATTTTATAGTATTGTTTTATAGGTTTTATAAGTATTTTATTCAGATTTTTTAAAAGTGTGACTTTAACACTTAAGACCAAAGTACAGTGTATTTGTTTAAAACGGATTATTCACTCTAAAAAATGCTGGGTTGTTTCAACCCAACTTTGGGTCAAATATGGACTAACCCAACTTTTGGGTTAAAAATTTAATGTAAAAATGTAACCCAACGGTTGGGTTAGTCCATATTTGACCCAAA